TTTTTTTTTTTTTTCTTCATAATTTGGTTCATGTGTAAAGAGGGTTGAATAATAGAATTCCATGGTGAAAGGTGAAATATACTTACGCTAATACCGTAAATAAAATAATTCCCAATAAAATCAAGCAAAGCATGATCAAATACTGCATCATAATATAAACTTTCAGTAACAATTTACTAGTAACAGTAATAATAAAAGTTGAGACTACAACGAATATACCATCCATAGTAAAATAGAGTTGTTCTTTAGCGCGCCAAAAAACCCGATAATTGATCTGAAATGGGACATGACTTGATAAAGAAAAGTTTGCAGAAAAAGAAAGGTTTTTCTTTCCCGATTAAGACATGTGAGGGGATATCTTACATCAAGAATATTAGAGCGCCAAGACCCAAAATTGGAAGAGTGAGCGACTTTCTACAACCATCATGATGAGCGCTAATCCACACGCCAAAACCAATTACACCTACAGCTACAAACTACACAATGATAAAAAATTGGTGAGCTATTTTGTAGATATGAAATGAGTAGAAGCTAGAAAAGGTTGTATATTGCTGCAAAATCTGGTTTAAGCATTTCGACAAACAGCTAGAGCGCATGCAAAGCAAAAGTTTCGGATTTCGATAAACAAATTGCTCGGTGTTTCCACAGGCATACCATAGTCAGAAAATTAATCCATCTGATCACGAATGTGCTTACTCCTGTGCTCATTTCCTTCCCGAATAAACTCCGATTTCTTGTTCTTCAATCGAATAAAACAAGTTGATTTCCCTGTGTTTTCAAAGTCAAAAATGGGAAGCGGTAAAGGGGGAAAAGGGAAGATTTGAGATAAAGATGGGAACTTTTGAGGGTTGTTTTGGGGAATTCACGTAGCTTGAAAAGTTATGGGATTGTTGAAGAATGTGCAATAAAACACACAAAGCAACGACAAGACAAATTATTTGTTAACAAGCAGACAACAACGCAGAAACAGAAAGAGGTGAACTTCAAGATATAGTTACAGGTAGAGTTTATATTAGAACCCTATATTATGATAAAATGGACGGTATAGTCCCTATCTTATCAATTTCTATATTTTTGATACACTTTAGTTTGTTATATGAACCCTATATACTTGGTATAATTTACGACAGTGAAGTAAATGATATACTTTCTTGACAAAATTGCAAAAATGGTCCCTGCCGTATGCATTTTTTTGGGGTTTTAGTCCAAACATCGACTTTTTGGATTCGTGATCCTTATGAGCTGGTTACGTGTAGTTTTGGTCCCTAGAAAAATTGAAAAGACTAAAATACCCTTGGGGTATTTCTTTTTCATTTTTCTTTCATTTTTAATCTATTTTTATAATTAAAAAAATTAAAAAAAACTCTCTCTCACACACACACACTCTCTCTCTCGTTGAACCACCACCAGAGGTTGAAACCGGCCGCCGGAAAAGTGCAGCAGCCCTCCACAGCCCTTCTCCACCTCTTTCTCTTGTCAAGTAATAACCCCAACACCCTCTTCTACATGGATACTTTCTCTGTCGCTCCGAAAGCTGCCAAAGATGAAGAACGAGCCACGAAGGGCTTGTCGGAGACACCAACTGCCACCTCTACCCTGTCTCTTCCTTTCGCCGAGCAAGCACCTTCTTCATCCTCTCCTTTTGTATTCTTTAATGAATCATCAATAATCCTATCCTATTTGAACAGTTCACCTTCTATCAGTCCATCGTGAGTTGTAGGTTAAGGGAAGAGGCAATTTTGCAATTCGTTATCAACTGGCTTCAATTGACGAAATGAAGCACACAACTGAAATCGTGCTGGTGAAGTTAAAGAGACCGAGACGGCGAGAGCTTACCAATGACGACAACAGTTGGTGGTGGATCGGAGATTCTCAACAGCAGTAGTGGTAGTCAATGGGTAGAAGGAAGCAGTCCTCTGATGATGATTTGCAAAGGGAGGAAGACGGAGACGATCGTTGTAGTCGGTGGTTCAGAAGATGGCGAGAAAGGGTGCTTGGGCTGCTATAATAGACGAGCAACAACCAGGAAAGGAAAATGGGGTGTTTGGGTGATTCAGTCGATGAAATGGATAGAAGGAGGGTGAAGACAATCGGTGGTGATGTTTCCGGCCACCTCTTCACTAATCTGTTAGCGAAATACACATAGGAGGGGGTTCGGTGGCCCTTATCGACTTGTGTATTTTGAAGAACAAGATAAGAGAGAGAGAGAGAGAGAGAGAGAGAGAGAGAGAGAGTGAATGGGGTGTGGGCCCCACTTTATTATCAATAAAACATTAAATTAAATAGAAAAATATATAAAAAATATATTAAGAGGGCAATTTAGTCATTTCAATTTTCAGAGGGATAATTTTTACATACAAACTAGTCCAAAAGGACCACGAATAAAAAAAAGTTGTGGTTTGGACTAAAACCTCAAAAAAAATAAAAATACATACCACAGGGACTTTTTTGCAATTTTGTCTACTTTTTTTATAAATACTCTTAAAACAATATATTTTATTTTCGTTTACGATCAAATAACATTTACTCACAATGTTCATTGTGTAATTAAAAGCTTAAAATTTCTACCTTATTAAGTATCAAGACTTTTTTATTTTAAAAAAGCTATATAAAACCTCTCTTCCTATCGTGAAAGTTTTTTTTTTTTTTTTTTTTTTTTTTTTTTTTTTTAAATAACTCAAAACTTTATTTTTTCAAAAAAAAATTGTTAATTAACAATATTTTCTTTTGAGCTTTTTCAAACATTATGGTAGGCTCTATATAAATAAGTTTGACAACCAAACGTAACCATCAAATATGGCTATTAAAGTGGTATCCCCTCCTTTAAACCATCTCCTAGCCACCTTAATCAACAACTACCAAACACCTTTACACCTTCCTTCATCATTTCGTGAACAACCGAACACCACCCTAACCTTGTTCATACAACCAACAAAACACCATAAAAACCTCACCATCACACATATACATACAATGTTCTTTGTTCTCTTATACACATCGGTTTTTGAAATTATAAGAATGGGAAGGTAGAAAACCTGCATGAAAGAACTAAAAGCAAACCTTTTCATCGGTTCCTTGGAAATCCTTTGATCATCGAGTTCTTGTTTACTTATATTCTTCAATTGGAACCCCTGTTTATGTGCAAATTCATATTTACAATAGAGGATTCGATTTATGTTCTTGCTACCAAGACATACACACACACACTGCAGATAGAGAGGGCTTATGATTGAGCATAGAATAAGGAGGCAGATATTTATAAAGTTATGGTTAATGTATTTAAGGAGAAGAAATCAAGTGTAAGAAAATGTTGATTTGAGTGGACAAACATGTGTCGGCCGCATCATGCTGACCGAACAACCACATTTCTCTAAGTGAGTGCGTGACATAGTGGACATGTTATTCCAGATTAGAGGGACGACATAAGTAGGTCAATGTCCACATTACGCCCCTACAAAGCTAAAAAAAAATTGAAGGGCTATTTAAACTAATTTGAGAAAATTTGTTACCTAACAATGATACTAACCCTAAAAAACCAATTTGGACATATCTGTCACACATCAAATTTGTAACACAAAACCTAAAAGTATTAAAATAAAGTACATTTAGTATATTCTATAAAAATAAATGAAACATAAACTTACAAAACCTAAAAGTATAAAAATAAAATACATTCAGTATATTCTATAAAAATAAGTGAAACATAAACTTGAAAGGAAATTAAACTATTGAAGTATAAAAACATGGATTATACATACAAATATGGGTATCAACCATTCTATAGAAACTTCATTTCTCCAAAAGGAGAAACATCAATAATAGATTAGAAGAAACCAACGATTAGTGCAAAATAAGACTGACACATGACAAGATTAATAAGAGTTTGCTCATATTGGTTTGCTAGAATGTTAAGATAGTCGTCATAATTTTCTCTTCCTTTTGTAAAAAAAATCAATAAGATGATATAAACAATTGATCAGAAGTGTTTATAAGTTATATTGTTACAAACGTATATTCACCTCGTCTTATGTCTCTACTCGAATTCAATTAGGCATTGCTGCTTACCAAGATGCCTTCCTACGTTCTTTTATGTGAAAATTTCATATATGTCAATTTTAAAAATTAAAATATCATATTTGTCCAATTTAATTTCATAATATCATATTTATTTTTTATAAACCTTTAAAATATCATATTTGTTCAAAAAAAAAAATTTATAATGTTTTTAATAGTTTATAATCATCTTTTATATTTAGAATTATTATAATAATTAAAAATTTTAACCATATTATTCCTATATCTGTAATAATGAAACGTGTACTTCTATATTGTTTGAATGTCGTTTTCTTGATAATCAAAACGATTCATCTTAAGCTCTCTCCATGGAACGTATGCATTGATTGTTTAGTTTTTGTTATTGTTGAATATTATCATGATGTATATGGAGAATATTTTAGAAACTACTATTGATATTATGATGTTTAAAAAGCATATATAATATTTTGATATTTAAGAAGGACATATATATATATATATATATATATATATATATATATATATATATATATATATATATATATATATATATATATATATATAAGTGCATATACGATATTTTAAAATTTTATGAATGATAAATATGATATTTAGAAATTAAATTGAGCAAATATGATATTTTGATATTTAATAAGAGTATATACGAAATTCTCCTTTTTTATTAGCCGCCACTTCTCGATCTTAAGTTACCAACTGCGCTTAAATGTTTAATGGATTAGCGTGGTCAAAATAAAATGTATGTACCTACAAGAGCTATTGAAAATCTGCTGCTCTTGCCAGCCCATGTTGCCCTCCCCTTGGGTCGGCTCTAACCCTGCTATTAGTGGCACAATGTTCCCCTACGGTCTACGGAGCTGTTGCTCCACCTCACCACCCCACATCATAAGGAATGACCATAACACACACCACAAACTCTTCAAATATAAGCAAATTACACTAGCCATACACCATACAACTACCCAAATAATGGTAGCCAAAATGTTCTTTTAACTTATTCCTAGAATAACCACAAAATGTAGTCAAAATGGTTGGTTAATTATACCACGATAACGATACCTAGGAACGGCCTACTAAATATCTTTAACCTAAAATCACCCCATGTGATAATTTACCATATCATAACCTTTAAATAAATTATTTAGCATGCAAACACAATTATAATTTGAAACATCTTACAACATGATTTACAACCTATCTTTGTTTAACCTATATCTACAGTTAGTAACCATCTCCATATGAAATATTTAAAAGGAATGAGACATGCACAATCTTCCATATAATTTGAAAATTTATGAGTATACTAAAAAGATATATACAAGAAGTACATTTTTTTTGTAGCGACCATCGATCATTTTCTTACATATCACAAAACCATGTGTTTCTCATCATCATCCTTAATTTGAATGTAAAGCAAATAAAAAAGAGTTTAAATCTTTGTAATCATTTTGAGATTTTATAATTTAATTTATTCCTAATTTGATTCATTTTCTTTCGACAGTTAAGACGTTCACTTTTCATTTTACTCCTGTTCTTCTTCCGGTGCTCCATCTTTTTCCTCTTTTTCCTCTGTTGCCTCTTCGCCGCCTTCTTTTGATGCTGTAGCTTTCTTCACCGCTTCTTTGAGGTGAGAATAACTTCCTTTCTCTTTAAAAAGCTGTGAGAAATGTGGTTTGCAGAATAGATTTCCGTCTAAAGCCGCATAATTTGATGGAGTAAGAAAGCAACCTCCTCGAGTGCATCGGAAACATGCTTTATGATAAAACTCACCTTCCACAGTTACCTAAACAGTATGACACACACACACGTATATATCTTTCTGTTAGTGTATGTATATGTATCTTATTATTCTACTGTATTTGGTATAACTATCTATAGCACAACCAATTTACTTTATTGTATTATTGTATATATATTCTAAGGAACGAGACTCACTATCATTATGACTCAATATTTTCGATTTAATAGGTTTTAAAGTTTGTATGATTTCTTATCAACATGCATGACATCATATATGTACTTCATAAGAAGTTCATATCAAGAAACAAGATGTCATTTCATAAAGAACATATTACGTTATATGGGTAATAAAAAATCATATTATTTTTAACACGTGTTAAACCGAAAATAAAATATCATAGTTGTAGCTGTGGAAATTTCGTTAAAAACTTGATGGCTTCGATTGACCACAACCAATATAGCGGTTATAGCGAAAAAAAAGTGGATTTAAAGTATAATTCAAATACTGTTTAAAATGACTTATAGAGAATACTTATGTTAGTTTATAGAAAAGTATAAATAAGGCACAAACCTTTTCCAGTGGATACACAGTTTTCTTGCAAACTGCACATTTATCTTGGGTTCCAGAAAACAAGGCAGAAAATTTATTTGGGGCTTTTCCCTGTAAACAAATTAATTAACATAAGTTTATCTCTTTAATTTAAATTTTAAAAGATGCACAAAGTTTGGTCCTTATCTTTGAAGGCCCAGTTTAAATCTGACATTATGAAAATTGGCCTAATATTGGGCTTATTGGGCTTGGTAAGAATGGATTCAGGTCCAAGTATATTGTGCACCTTTTCCATAACAATATATATATATATATATATATATATATATATATATATATATATATATATATATATATATATATATATATATATATAGTTTTAAAAAATTGTTAATATTACGTACCGTATCACTCGGTTTATTCGCAGCTGTTATGATAATAATAAATTAAGTTAGAAAAAATAAAAATAAATAATTATATGAAGAAAAAAAATGGAACTTACGTGTGACTTTAGGAAGACCTCCTCTCTCCTTGAACTTTTGCTCAAAATGTGGTTTGCAAAATAGGACTCCTTCCAGTGAGGAATAGGTGCTTATCTAGTAAACACAATAATTTCATTATATGCATACGTAATTACATATACATTATACACACACAAATACATCATATAAGCCATTTATCAATTTAATGCATACCAGAACTTAATTTTGCTATTATAGGATTAAATACGCACTAAAATATGCATAAATCAATGGCCCAGTTCTATAAAATTTACTATAGTTTGTTTATCTTTTAACTAACTATCCAAATTGTTTTAACCACTTAATGAATTGCAAAACACAATTAGTTATTTTGTAAGTTCATTTGAAAAAAAAAATCAATGTTTTAATGGTTAAATTATACACAATATTCGAATGCTTAAACCAGATAAATTCCAAACCATAATGATTTTATAGAATTTAGGAGTAATTTTTGAAAAAAAAAACAACAAACTCGCAAGGTTAAACCAAACAAAAAATTACTTATATGGTTAAACCAAATTAAATCAAAGAATAATAATTTTTATATGAAATTTGGCATAAATCAATTTGATAATTAGTATTACAGTCATAATCTTGAATAACAATTTGATATGTTAGATAAATCATGTCGGGTTTCCCCGCTACGACTTCTATTTACTTGATTTAAATAAATAATTTTATATTGATAAATCCTTAATCGTATTTTTAGCTACAAATAAAAGTGGAATCATAAATTCAAGATTGAACCTTATGATGAATTCCACAGAAAGAAAATTTTCTACTTCTTTGTTTCAAATCCTACCATGCATATTCGGAATTATGAATCTTATTAATTTAAGAGAACATGTGAGATCAAATCCATTAACAAATTGTATGTATTTGTCATTCCAAATCCCAATTTCATACAAACGAATAATCAAGAGTTAATTAAGAAACAAAAGAATTAATAAATTAAATACCGTAAGTTTGCCGTTACATTGGCTGCATGTGAAGCATGTTTTATGATAATTGATTCCATCAGCTGATATCATTTCAAGAAAATAAACAGTTTTCTCACAGACTTTGCATTTTTCTAAAGTCCCTGTGAATGCCATTTCTTTCTTCTTTATCTGTTCTTTAAATCTGAATCTAAAACTATTCTCTAATAATATGAAATTGAATAAGTAATTTTGACAAGAAAAAAAAGGGAAGGTGGGGAAACATCCATCTTTTCAAGGACTTAATTTAGTGTTTAAATGCATTTCCTTTCCTAATAAAATGTTCGACTTAAGAATTTTGAGTTCAATGGTGTTATTGGTGGACAACGTTGTATTGGATTTGAGAGAAACTAGGAATGTATTTATGAAAGGAGTGCACATTTAGATATTTTAAATTATATAAAACGACTTTTATCGAGATATTAGAAAGAAACAACATTTACCATTGTATCTTTTATTTATATTTATTTTTTCAATTCGTTAGATTAAAACAATTGTTACAACTAACAAACTTTACCGGTGATAATGATATGAAAGGGTAATGGATTTTTGATTTTATTCATATTTAGTCATTAATTTTTTTTCATTATCTATTTGTCATTAAACTATTGAAACTGTTCACATTTTACCCTTATGACCGGTAACAATTTCAATATATGTGAACAATTTCAATAATTCAGTAGCAAAATAAATAATGAAAAAAAATTTAGTGACTAAATGTGAACAAAATTGAAAATTCGTTTCCCTATTAAATTATCATAATATTATACTCCGAAAAAGATATAAAAAACGAATTATTTCACCATGCTCCTTAAGTTGTTCCTAACATTTCTAGTTATTAAGGGTTACCTAATTTTTTTTTAGTTCATAAAGTTATATCAATTTAATTTTGACCTTAGACACCTAATCTAACATTATTGACTACCAATAGAGTGTTTTGATTCTATCTAAATATCGATGCTCAACTTCATGTTATGCAAGTTAGCTTGAAATCTTTATGAAGACAACATCCTTAATGTAAATCCAATAGTTATTGATATTAGATTTAAAATTAATGTTGCTGCTTAGTTTCATTAAAGAATCAACTTTTTTTTCCTCTCTTGGATGTTGTTGGTTAGTTCGTTGGCCAGTTTCCGTTTATATTTGACTATGTGTGTTTCTTGTACTATACAATTTTATTTTTAAAATACAATCGTTAAAAATGATAAAAATAAAAATAAAAAAATTCTAACTAACGAGAGAGAATTCCTTTAATAAACTTTTACATACGGGGCTACTTTTGAAAAATTAACCGTATGCATGTGTTTGATTATATGTATGTTTTCAACTATATGTATTTATATGTTAACACAAGTTGCATAAGAAAAATTAAAAAGAATAATAATATTAAAAATACTTCTAAATGTATGTTGTGTGTAATATGAAAATTTCGATATCCATTTTAATAGTAAATATACTATATCAATACATGGAATATAACAACATATATAATGTATCAAGTATGTATTTTTTTTATAAACACCATATATAGTTTAATATATGTCAATTGATATGTTGCATAATTTTATAACACAAAATTCATACATATAATATTAGAATAATTTTTATACATATAATATTGCATAATTCTATAACATAAAACTTATACATATAATATTTGTTTCGTTATTTTTTGTTTTTGTTTTTTTATATTTTTTTCAGGGTATAATATTAGGATAATTTGATAGGGAAACGAACTTTCAACTTTGTTGACATTTAGTTACTAAACGTTTTTTCATTATCTATTTGCCACTGAACTATTGAAACTGTTCATATTTTACCCTTATGACCGGCTGTTACCGGTCACAAGGGTAAAATGTGAACAGTTTCAATAATTCAGTGACAAATAGATAATGAAAAAAAAGTATAGTGACTAAATGTGAACAAATTCGAAAGTCCATTACCCTTTCAAGTCATTATCCCTTTACCAAATTACCCTTGTTCCTTTCATCACTACTACTGCCACCACCATCGTTGCCACCTCCACCATCACCATCTCTACCACCACCACTATCACTTACCTTTGCCACCACCACCGCCTCCTGTAACACCATTACTGCCACCACAACCACCACAGCCTACCATTGCCACCGCCGCCAGTGTTGTCGTCACCACCACCACTACCATTACCACCGCCACTACCAACACCGTCACCATCGCCGCCACCACCACAATCATCACCATTGCCACCATTATTGTTACCATTACCCATTATCACTGCAACTACCACCGTCACCATCGCCACAGATACAAATGCCGCCACCACCTACCACCGCCAACACCTACTACCACCGCCACCTATGCCACCGCCTACAACCCACCACCAACATCACTACCTACCGCCACCACCAACATCATCACTTACACCACCACTGCCAATACTACCACTACCACCATCACTTACCTCCTCCGTCACCACCCAACATCATCGCAACCACCACCCAACAAAATCGTTACCTACCATTACTAACATCATCACTATCGCTGCGACCGCTACCACCACCACCGCCACTATCGAAACCACCACCCACCACTACCGTCTCCACCACCTACCATCATTGCCACTATCGCCACCACTAACATCCACAACAACCGCCATCACAACCACTACTACCTACCTACCTACCTACCACCACCACTACTACTGCTACCACCACTCACCACCTCCGCCACCACCCGCATCATCGCCACAACCACCGAACACCACCGCCATCACCCGTATTTTCTCTTTTTATAATTTATATAATATATTCTTACATGAAGTTATAAAACAAAGTAATGTTAAACAAAAACAATAAGAACGATTATGTCATTTTACATCATTCAAATTTTATTTTCTGCCAACCAACATAATTTGGAATTGGATTCTAATTCATGATAAATTCCAATTCCTATAAAAACATTATGTGAATTAAAGATCACCTTAGTTCTAAAGTAGTAGTCATAGGCACACCAACCTTTCTCCTTTTTAATAAAACAATTTGTTGTTTTCTTCAATTTTAATGTTGAAAACCACCAAGAACACCATAAAAATATATAAACATTTAAAAAAAGTAAACAAGGAAAATCCAAAATATATGCGGTCATTTATAACATTAGTGTGGTATAAGGCTTAAACGAACATTTTAGAAAAATTTAAGAGTTTTTGTGAAAATAAAAATAAGTTTAGGTTTGACCACAAAGAATAGGTGATCAACCATTTTTAGTGCTAAAACATTTCATTTAACCTCCTTAACTTTACATTTGATGGAATTGATGGATACCTAATGATGTTTTGAGCCAATGAGGTCAAATTTAACTTGACGGAGACACACTTCACTTTTCCTCTTCCAAAGATTTTTAGGGAATAGTATCGAGTTCTATCCAAAGCAATGAAGCCCCTTAATGGAAAACTGGGTTGCTAAGGATGATGTTGTTATCTCTTCAGGGAGAGATCGAACATGGGTTCGTTGGGTGTTATGACATACTGTCCTATCGGATGTCACTATCACCAAATCGTTGTTTAAAAAAAATGATGTTTTGAATATCGATGAATCTATGGGTGGTTCATCAACTATACGGTATATAATTCACTAATTTAATCTTTATATAAATCACAATTTGACTAATTAGATAAATAATTTCACCAGATTAATAATAATTTATTTGGATTTCAATTAGTGAAATTAATCTATGATTAGTGAACCAAATGAGTGATTCACTAAGCATTCAAGAAATAAGACTACTTGATTTAAACACTAGATGTTGATGCTTGAAAACGATTTGGATTTTAATTACTTCATAAGTTTATAATCTTCACCAAGTTTCAAGCTCCCCCTCTCGTTTCTAGGCGGAAAACGTTATTATGAGAGAGGAAGAGGGCAAATTGAAGACTTCAAAACTTTCATTATTTGGCAAGAATAGCACTTCATTTCATCATTCTTGCAAACTAAACTCAAGCTGATATTTTTCTAACATTGCAAGTCCTTAAGTTAATAGTTTGACCCAAAACAATATTTATCCTTACAAATAAGGTCCACCACAAGTTATGGAGGTTAAGTCCAAGTTACAAACCTCATCTCCTATGAGGTTTGATGAGAGAGTGCACTGTGACTAAGTAGAGTGAAGGTGAGTCTTAAGATCCATCTATTTATTTAAAGATAGTATAAGATATGGATGAAAAAAATAGATATTTACCTTATAATTTTTAAGTGACCTATCTTCAAAACTTTGCCAAAAGAAAATAGATCAAAATATATAAAGCCCATAATTTATATTTTAATCCACTTAAAATAGCTCAATGTTTCAATCAATTTAAACTATAATAATTATGTAATAACCTGATCTATTTAAAATAAAATAAAAAAGCAAAAAGACTTGAAAATTGAAATCTTGCTTGGCTTAAGGTGTGATGGAAATCTCTGAAGGGAGTATGTTTCAGTAAATCCATATTTATTTGAGTTTACGTTTGTATATACCCGTAGATAATGGTAGTTTCCGCAATTACCCAAATTAGCTAGATTGGTAGGATTTCTAAACCGTTTATTTTTTTAGAGGATACGATATCCAAAACCATTTAACTCCCTTCTTTTTCAACTTTATTCATTGGAAACACTCAAAATTCAAGTTAACTTTATGAGCTATATGAGTTAAAAATGGCTTTTGTGGCCTCAACCAATTGATATTTCGTGTTGTGTAGGGTTGTATGATATTGCTACAACAATGGTCGAGATTGGAGGATATCATAAAAATTAAACCTAAAATTTAGACTTTTTTTTGGCAAGTGATTCAAGTCTGTCTCATTAAAGTGATAGGATTATCTTAGAATAGGATAATAACAGTCTTTTTTATATAAAACTTGAACCAGGTATCTAAAAGTATATTTAATTTTTAATAATCTATCGAAAGTTATCACATGTATATTTAATTTTTAATAATCTATCGAATACTGATGGTTACATGTGATCTAATGTTTAATGTTTCCAATTAGCCCCTGGTTCGCTGGGTGTTAACCATTGGCACATCTAATGCGGTTTTTGGCTGCGCCCATTGTCCTCTCGATCATACCTTGTGCTACCATAAAATTTATTTTGATTTTCATTAATTTTTTTTTTATCAAATTAACTAGTGAACATGCAATACAATGATTGATTAGGCATATTTTAGGCATGTTTAAGCACTTGACAGAATTATAGGCCGGGGTACACTTTTCAAAAATTCATGTAAAAGTTTCTCATGATAAATTACTTCTAAAACTTTATATTTTCAACTTTCTAGGAATGACTCCCTTGAAGGAGTGGTAATGTAGTACTCCCAATTAAATTACAATGTAGG